GTATGAGCATGCCATTGATAAATCAGCCCATGTACAATTCTACTGTGTATAGGAACATGTTCATGTCCCCCCTTTGTTGTTCCGGCACAGTATGAGCATGCCATTGATAAATCAGCCCATGTACAATTCTACTGTGTATAGGAACATGTTCATGTCCCCCCTTTGTTGTTCCGGCACAGTATGAGCATGCCATTGATAAATCAGCCCATGTACAATTCTACTGTGCATAAGAACATGTTCATGTCCCCCCTTTGGGTTTGCTTTTGTTGAATTCAACTCCGTAGGTTCCAGAGCTACAAACAAACTTTATGCTCCCGATCTATTACAAATACTGTATACTATTTTCAGAAAGTAATTGGCAGTCAATCCATTAAAACAAAGAAATCATTTTTACCAACAACAATATCAATCTCACAACTTTTGCTTTCACAAAGTTTTCTCTTTCATGACAGGAAAACATACTGTGGACAGAGAGTAGTGAGAACAAACCGCACTGAAGCACCCACCAACCACCCACACAAATAGGACAACGGATACTGTGGACAGAGAGTAGTGAGAGCAAACCACACTGAAGCACCCACCAACCACCCACAACTACTTACTGATCTCCAAATCTGCAGGCGGCTGTCTTTTTGAAGAACGGACAATGCTCGACCTCTCTCTCCTTGGCGTACTGGACGGGTCCTAGAGGGTTATGCCAGGTGTTCTGTGAGTGGAATTGAGAGTTTTAATTTTAGTAACGTTTTACTGCGCTCGCAACTGCATAAGGTCATATGAGCGCCAAGGGGTGGATGTCAAAAGAGAAGTCCTTATAGGGAATCAGACTTTCTCTGCTCACCTCTCTAGCCTCAACAGCACAAAGTCTGCTTTGACTATCAAGGCACCCCGGAAAAAGCGGGTCACAAGAGTGACAAACATACAAAAGAAGTAGGGGAAAATGACGATAGTAAGGAAGAGGAAAGAAAAAGCAGCAGTTCCCGGTTGCAGATCAGGCACAGTATGAGCATAACATTGATGAATTAGCCCATTTACAATTCTACTGTGCATAAGAACATGTTCATGTCCCCCCTTTGGGAAAGGCCTAAAGACACTAGAATTGAGACATAGGTCAAGTTTACAGACACCCCACACCCTGACAAACACAGTTTGTAGAATAGGGAGACACAACTTGAAAACAACATGAGCTTATTCACATCAGGAAAGACATTTTTCAAAGTCATCCCTCTTTAACATCAACAACTTGCTAATTATGTAACTGTTAAATATAAGTACCACAAAGTTTTTCTCAGAGATCAATGATAGCAGAAATTCTAGAAACAAACTAGCTACAGCAAAAGAGAAGGGAAAAGGGGCGTGCAAACGTATCATCATACACAGATGGTTCCACATTGTTGGAGCTCCGGGCTCCAGACTCTGCCCACAAGCAGCCCAAACTCAAACTTCACTTTCCCCAACAGTTTACACACGAGAGAGCCACTCTGATGTTCTTCACAACTGACGGTGTCATGTGTGGGCCGGCAGTGAGCAATGACAACAAGCTTACAGCAAGATAGCGTCTCACTAAATGTGCAGCCTACACAGAGGAGATTATTTCCACACAATTTTTTCGTATAATTTGCTGTTGTTGTCGATCCAGGATATATATAATCTACCTAGGTACAGGAAAAGATGAGACGTGTGTCAATTTTCAGCTGAATAAGACATTTCGCTCCCTTGGACACTAGGTTGAGAACAAAATTTTTTTAAAGTACAAAGAAAAAATAAATTTGAACCCCATCTGGATTTGAACCTTTAACTTCCACAAGGCAGATCAAGGTAGCAATCTACTGTGTCACAATGGCTGCTCTGACAGATGCCAACTTCCAGTGTTTGTACAACTCCAGATGTTGCAGGCTTAGCAAGACATGATCAAACATGACAAAATAGAAATCTAAAAACTTACTGAATTTTCATTGGCCGTCGCTTCCCTCAGCAGCTTCTCCTAAAGATCCGAGCGGGTGATTGAAGAAGTGAGATGAGAACAAAAGCAAACATCTTGATCCCTCGAGGGGGGGCAGACAATATCTGAACAGCTAGATACTGAGTTAAGTCAAGTGGATTGCAAACGTTTGTGTGCGCCTTCTGTGATAACTTCCAGTAAGGCGGGGAGCAAACACATTTCTTCTTATACTCAACAAAATAGAGGAAAGCAACAACAACAACAACAAAAAGTAAAAATCTCATATCACAGTAGTATGTTTGAAAAAATCCAGCAAAACAATTTTTAAAACTTAAAACTGGTTTTAAATTCTATAAAAGCCAAAATATAAGAAATCAGAGCCAATGTAATATTTAAAATTCACCCCACAAAGATGAATAAGATCTAATTGCAAGTAACTATTCTATAATAGCAACCATAAGTAGGCCTATATGAAATGTAAATTGAAACCTCTTCCTTTCAACTACAAGACAAACATCATCAAACCAAACACCACATGTTGCAGCGCGTCTGGCTTAGAAAAAAGATACTGAATCAGCACACAGTCGCAGTCAGCCCAGATTTTATCGCTAGGCTGCGTGGAAAGGTTAAGGAACAAACAATCACATCTGGACACTGCTGAAAACTTCATGACGAATATACGAAAGCGTCTGTTTTTCTGTCTTCCGTATACGCAAGAATAATCCCACAATGCCTCATCCCAAAGTTACAAATACATCCCAGTTATGCCTGTAGCCTATCTTTTTAGATTCAGTTAGAGTTTTACGGCACTTGCAACACATTAAGGCCATACAAATGCAAAAAATTAGAGGTGTTACGAGAGAGTAACAAACAAAAACAACGAAGGAGAGGAGATAAGGAAGACAGACGTTTGCTAGGAAAGAAAGAGAAAACCCCACCAGAGCGCCCACCAACCACCCACTGTAGCCTATTTTGAGGGCAGCCAGGTGCTGCTATACAAAGTCTACACTGTTCACCCAAAAGCAGTAAAGACTAAATTCACCAAAAGAAAGTGATCTACACTGGGAAGAATGTATATGTGGAACACAGAGAAACACGCCCCGCATCCCCCCAACACACACAATGTGCATGCATCCTGTGGGGAATGCTGTGGTGACAAAAGAGGATATGGAGGATCCACCCAGCCACATGCGTCACCTGCTTCAGACGTTTCTCCTTGTCTTTCTTCTCCTTCTCCTCCAGAGCCTCCCTCTCCTTCTTTTCCCTCGCCTCCCATTCTTCACGAATCTTTTTCTGAAATAAAATAAAAAAAACAAACAAAAATCGTATCAGTACTGGGAAATGCATCAGTTTTCTGTGACATTTACATAAGAGAATTTCCCACGAGAGAACAGAAACAAGAAGCACATGGTATTTCGATGGCTGTCCTGAACTTGTGTGAAAGGCTCTTTACACCATCATCCTCACACTTTAGTTTGGCCATGCACTACAAACAATAGCAATGAACAGATAGGCTACAACGAGGTCAGAGTTCATGCAGTACAAGTACTATGAGGCACGGGATTCAGACAAAAAACAAACGTGCTGTCAATCCACTCAGACACGACAGATCAGTAACCTATATTTTCAAACAAAGGCACCCTGCAGTGACAAGCTTTCAATAGCGACCTAGAAGGACAGTACAAAATTCTATACCTCTGTTTCTTCTTTCTTCTTCCTCTCTCTTTCCTCCCTGTCTTTCTTGGCTTGAAACTCTAGCATCGCTTGCCTCTCCCTCTCCAACCACAAGTCGTTCTGTCGTTTACTCTCCGCCTCCTCTTCCAATCTCTGCCTCTCTTCCTCAGAATCTGTCGAATCTACAGGGTCGAGACCTGAAATGATAGTAAGAATAATTTCTTACATAATGAAAATGCACACAGACTGAAGACGTAGACAATATCAATAACAACATTTCCGACTACTGGAACAAACAAGAACACAGAAAACAGAGCACATTGAAAGTTGTCTACCATCTGGAGTGTACTCCACTCAACACATCAGTCGGGGGGGGGGGGGGGGGGGATCTGGATGAGGTGAGAAAACGTCCACGTGTAAGACTCAAGGCAAAACAAAACTTTGCGCGTTTCACATTAGATTTATTGGCAATTACATGAACTGCTTCATCTGAACGTTTTACTATTTAGCATTTAGTTCAAAACTGCATCGCTAGGAAGTCAGACAAGGCCTTCCACTTAGAATTTACACTCACGTAGAGTGGTACAAATGAGCTGGTTGGTGAATTGCAGTCTGAGGCTGAAAGTTGGAGAACCGTCAGTACGTTCGTGTGTCTGCAAAAGTGTAAGAATTTGGGAAAGAATGAAAGAAAAGGGGTAGGGCAATGCCATCAGACTGCATAACAAAGAAAGTGTTGGATTGGAATCCACAGGGTAAGAGTCAAGGGGAAGACCGCGTGGAACCTGGAGAAGAATCACAGAAATTGATGGACAGAAAAGTGGGAAGACATGGAATAACATCAATAGGCTAACCCAAGATAGGGAAAGGTGGAAAGTGCTTGTTCGTGGCCTATACCCTGGGGCAGGGTGAGAAAGTGTTTGTTCGTGGCCTATACTATACCCTGGTGCAGGGTGAGAAAGTGTTTGTTCGTGGCCTATACCCTGGTGCAGGGTGAGAAAGTGTTTGTTCGTGGCATATACCCTGGTGCAGGGTGAGAAAGTGTTTTTTTGTGGCCAATACTATTATATCCTGGCACAGGGTGAGAGAGGCAATGATGATGATGCCGGCCATCACACCAGCAGACAACTCCAAGACCAAAGCTTAACTTTTCTCCCTCACCTTTTTGATCCGAGGCATCTCTTTCCTTGGCAGCAAGTATTCGTTTCTCCTTCCGTTTCAGTTTCCTCTTCTGAGCCTTCCATTTTCTGTGACTGGACAAAAGGAAACAAAATGAAAATCAGTTTCAATCGATTGACAGTAAATTGTCGCTTTAAAGGACAAGAAGCGGGATAACCCAGATTTTGGGGGTTTCCAGAAATCTTGACCTACACCAAAAGTGGGCATTGCCATACCTATAGGAGAAGTTTGGATTCATTGGTGTATATTTGTTTAGTTGTAGAGAAAACTCTCCTTGTTTTTTTTTATAGAAACTGAACAAGGGTCCAAATACTTTACCTTCCATTTTCTCAAAACAGCATTTTTCGGGATAGCCCCCTTGTGCTTAAAAGCGACCAAATTTCATCATTCATGACTTCTTTAAAGTAAACCCAACCCGTGTGTTGACCGATTCATCAAAGTCATATATATATTTTCTGTCAACACTCAGAAGTTGTTAAATTCAGGTTTGATAATACACTAGCACCAGTGGCAAGTGGGGGGTTTCAGGGGGGTCTGCCCTCCTGGCCACAATAATAATTAAGACAACACACATACATGCAAATCAATAATAAACAGAGAAAAAAAAAGTGGGCCAGGAACATTTTAAATAGTTGGCTCTGCCCAAGAACTTTAGTGGACCCACATTGCCAGCCTAGGCTAGGCTTAAGAGGTACCAAGAGAGATGATAAAGGCGCGGGTGAAGTTTTACCGGACCAGTGAAGAGAGGGGGAGACATGGCGGTGGGGGTGGTGCCATGCTGTGACTAGATTGACCAATCAGCGCTTGGGTCTAGAGTCTAGATGCGAGCGCACTCACAGGCTCTGTGGTACAAAAATCCAGTAGAAACCTTCAGTTGACAAAACGTACCTGAAGGGAGAGGATGAAGGCAAGGATAGGAGGCACCAGCGTGAGTGGGGAGGAAGAGGAGAGAGAGAGAGAGAGCGCGCGCACAGCGGCCCAGGGAAGAACAGCGGACCAACGCATGGCATCACACAAGACCCAAAAGTAGTTCCGGCCCCTCCCAGCCGTGGGTCCACCTAAGTTCAGTCTTACCTAGGACTATTTATAATAGGCATAGGGCATAGGCTATAGGCTATTGCCTGAGGAGAGGGCGAAGGGCCTATCACTAACAATAACACAACCACAACAGTCGCAACACAGACGCACAGGACAGGTCACGTTGACGTTGTCATTGTTGTGAGAGTTGAGCGTTCAGATCTTGGCATACTTCTTGCTCTCTACATTAACCTAACAGAAGGAACACCTGGTTGCACGACCCCCCCCCCCCCTACAAAAATCAGTTTTACGTACCTTGTTAATTTATAAGTCATATTTGCGGTAGAAGAAGTCTGTCGCTGTTCATCCGCAGATTTGTTTGTAGTCTGTTCGGCAGCCATGCTGGTTGTTGGAGACTATGACTTATGTAAAACATTAACTCACAACAACAATTTTACAGTACAAACGTATACATTTCTATTTTTCAAAGTTTTTTATTTCAAATTTAAATATTATCGCGAGAATCCAAATTTCAAAAGCATTAATAGTCTTGATAATTCAGATTTGTTACTGTGGCTAGCTTTGTATTCTCAATTATATTGTGTTGGGCAACTTCAGGAGAAAGCAAAACTTTTTAAACAACTGAAAGGCTGAAGGTGTTGACTACATACCGAAACGCTTTAAAATTGAAAGTCAAAAGTATATTACATTAGATTTAAATAATTATAAGAATTTTAAAGAAAAAAATACTAATATGTGTGTAAATAAAAATACATTTATAACATTCAGTTCTATTCATGACTTAAATTTCTTAATTAAAACGTACCATATTAGTTACGACAATTAGTGCACGTTTCTGCGCAGTAAATCGTGACGTTTCACACAACTCGCAGGTACCAAAACAAACTCCACGCACAGGCCAGCTGATTGAGATCTATAAATAGGACACATCTGCATTCATCACTGGCGCTGTGTTGTAGGCCAGGGTAGTGCAGGATCTAGGTGTCTTTGTGTGTTCCGACCACCAACCATTCGCTGACCCAGTTCAAGCTGTTGCTGTTGCTTTCATGCTGTCGTCTTCAGAGATCGACACTTTTATACTCGACTCCCTACCCTCAACTCAATGACTTACTGATTTTCAGGCAGTAATGCGGTGAGTAACATCTAAAATCAGTAGACTCTAGACCTAGTTGTCGTCGCTCTAAATCTCTAGACATAGATGGCTAGATCTAGTTGGTATTGTCAGTATTGTTTTGTGACCAAGTGTCCTGGTGTGCTGACTTGTGTGTTCTTCTGACTTCTGGGTCGACAATCTTGTTTACCTCAACTTCTGTCAATCTGTCTGTTGTCAAACATCCGCTCAGACTCCTGCTGTCTGTAGAAAAAGCACCCGACAACAATAACAAAGCATACTTGTGGCTTCTGGTAAATTATTAGTTCTTACCTACCTTCGTTTTTTAAAGTTAGAGAGTCCTGTTCTTTCCAATCTAGATCTAGATATTTCAGTCCTCTTTATTTAATGTGCTTCTAGATATCTATACTATTACAGTGGAACCTGCAATGACAGCCTCCTGTATAAACGGCCACTTTCTGTTCCCCCCCCCCCCCCCCTTTGCGTTTTTTCTATTTAATTGTGTAAAATTGTCACCTGTCCAACGCTGCCGCGGCCACCTTATTTTATCAACCTACAGCCAAATTTACCTGGCTAAAGCGGCCAGTAGTGCTGGGCGGTACCGGCGAAACCCAGTGTCGATACTTTCTCAGCACAAATGCAGAGAACCACCGGTACCAGTACTCAGAGTGACACCAGGGGAGGTGACATAACAGACTGTGCGTCTCGTGTCTAAAGCCGCGATCAGCGCCGCCCGCAGCTCCCCCCCCCCCCTCTCTCTCTCTCTCTCTCTCTCTCTCTCTCTCTCTCTCTCTCTCACTCACAAATACATGGGCACACTTATACATTCACTCACGCAAACACTCACCCAATCACATACCCAGTCACTTGCACACCTACACTTACACTAACACATACACTTGTCAGAATTGGACAATTGGAGAGGCGAACTGTGACGCAAAATACCTTTGAAATTTGCCGCCATGCGCGATTACACTTTCCTTCCATGCAGAATTTTAAAATAATTATCGCCGCTAAAAATTGATTGATTTCATTTTCGGAATCAGCGTATAAAACAAAGTGGCTCGCGTGGAACCAGATTTGATGCTGAATTTAAATTTATGTATTAAGTAAGGCCACCTGCTGCGTTGTGCATCTGACGTCACAGCTGCTTGGCCTACACACTGCACACCTCCCGGGGCCCCCCAAAAAAACAGTTGATCTCGGCTCCTTCCCAGAGCTGGTTCTGGAGACCTGGTGCCGGTACTGACACCTCCTTTGGTAGAACCGGGAGTTCAAGGTGAGGTCTCGACTCGCCCGATGCTTTGTCATAAATTTTTAATCGCTCCCTGGCGCTGTGGACAAGCTGTCATAGTCCATTCACCTGTCGTTATTGTTAGTCCCTCCAATGAATGTTTCCAATAAGACCAGTGGGTAACAATACATTTTCAACTTCTGTAAGGGAAATGTGGGATCCGTCATAACCTATAGCCCCGCCCACAATTCATGCACAAATCATATGTGAGGTGACTGGTCACTGTTTCATTTACCTAATCTGTAACAAAGTAACAATGGGTGTTGACATGAACTTGCAACAATAAAAGGTAACCCATAAACAAACCCAACAAAAAACCCTTCTTACATTCCCCCCTTCCCCTCCACTTTTTCAAAAGAAAACAAAAGCCCACGAGAACCCCCGATCAGCCCTGGTTCAAATCCTCAGTGGTAGGCCTCTGTTCAAGAACTTGACTATTTATAAGTGAAAGGTGTTACATCGCTCTCAACCCACTTGACGCTACTATGGGAGACAATAGATTCGGAGGTCTTGCATCCTGCCTCTTATTTATTACAAGCTTGCAGTGCTGAAAGAGGAGTGGAGCCCCTATAATTACAGATCATTAGATTTCCTTTTCAACAAGGTCTGGGCAAAGCTCCCTGAGGTAGAGGGAGGATGTTTGTTCTTTACTGGAAGTGTAATTATGCTCATGAACTAAAATTACTCTGAAACTTTGTAATACAGTTAGAACTGCTCTCTATACGGTAATACAGTCCAAGACAATCACCTGTAATAGCAATCGTTTCCCTCTCGTCCCACCCCCTTGCATTATTTTGTTGTTGTTTTTAAATACACATGTACCACCAGTGCTTGCCTTTCATAGGACCACTGTTTGACCTATTTATAACAGAAACGTTTTAACATCTCCTTTGCTTCCACCCTTAGCCCCACCCACCGGTGTAACAGGCACAGTCAACCAATGCCACCCCTCACTGCCATCATTTTCTCAGCTGGCCGTATGATGAGGGCGGCTAGCATTGGTCAATCTAATTTCACACCTCTGGCTTCTGGCTACCCAGGAAAGTTTCTGTAGTGGCTCACTACCGGAGCATTCTCACGGGCAGTCGTGAGATTTCACACCCACACTCCACTGACCATCTGCATCGCTCAGGGATCACATGATGGGGTAACATCTACCCCCAAATTGCACCACTACTCCCTTTCCTCACCCAGCAGAATGACCATGGCGTTAAGTTTAGAGCCAGCGGAACCAAACTTGCAAGTTTTGTTTCTAATCGGGCTGAGCGGGCAAAGCATTTTCCGTCTTAGACAGGGGAAACCCTCGGAAGGGATCAGATTTTTCCATCTGTTTCCACGTTGGACAGGTTTCTGTTTTATACAGGTAATTAAAGAGAGGAATATATCAAGAGAGGAGTGGGGAGATTCCGTTAAGGCGGGTTCGACTGTATATTATTATTATGACACTGTTCAAGATGTTCACCTGTCTAAGACAACCACTTTTCTCTACGACACTGGGTGGCCGTCGTGGACAATTGCGACTGCATTTTTGTTGGGGGGGGGGGGGGGTTATGTACTATGTATAGATATATATATATCATGGCAGAGCTGTTTTGTACCGCTTGTCATTTTAAGATCTGTTTTAATTGATAAAATGAAAAGTACAGAGTTGAAACGATGGCAGCATAAATAATACGAAGTGGCTTGCCGTACTTAGATCTAGGTTTGGCCCTGTTGAGTACACAGGTCTCATTAGATCTAGATCTAGTCATTATTCAGATTTAAAATACATGCAAGTCAGTAAGGCACCGTTTGGTTTTGTCTGAAATACAAGTACTTTAGGCATTGCAAACTAAAAATTTCATTTACAAGTCAGCCATCATTATTAAGTACGGCAAGCCTGACAGTCTAGCCGTACTTGTCTTATCTTAGGCCCTAGTAACATTAGAAAACAGGTCTCATAAAATATGCACTGTCAGTGTCAGTAAGGCACCTGGTTTTGTCTCAAATACAAATACTTTAGGTACAGCAACCGAAAAATGTATTTTTACAATTCAGTAGGCCTTTTTTTGTTTTTCCCAGTCTAGCCATCATATCAAGTAAGTACGGCTAGCCTCTTCCTAAATAATACAATATAAAAAAACCCACCTACATCTTCATTAGTTGGTGGGTGTTGTAGCACAGCCTTTCACTCTGTGACTCAGGACTGTTTTATCTCGTAGAGAGACCAGAACTGTTGTAAAAGTTACACGGTCAAAGAGTACCCCCCCCCCCTCCTTCCTCCTTCCTTCCTTCTTCCATCTACCGTGAGAGTAACAGGTAAAAGAGTAACTTCCTCCTCCTTCCTTTCATGTGTCAATCCCCTGTGAGCTTACTGCTATGGGCTCTGCTGGGGACATAATTTATGCCAAGCAGTAAAAACTGTGATTATACGTATACACAATATGATATTGGGGGGGGGGGTCTTATTCATCATCATCATTGCCTTTCTCGCCCTGCACCAGGGTATAGGCCACGGACAAACACTTTCTCACCCTGCACCAGGGTATAGGCCACGGGCAAACACTTTCTCACCCTGCACCAGGGTATAGGCCACGGACAAACACTTTCTCACCCTGCACCAGGGTATAGGCCACGGACAAACGCTTTCCACCTTTTTCTATCCTGGGCTAGCCTCTTGATGCTATTCCATGTCTTCCCACTTTTCTGTACATCAATTTCTGTGATTCTTCTCCAGGTTCCACATGGTCTTCCCATTGATCTCTTATCTTGTGGATTCCAATCCAACACCTTCTTTGTTATGCAGCTGCCTGACTTCCTGAGAGTATGTCCAATCCATCGCCGCCGCCTTCATTCTTACCTCATCTCTGACTGGGATCTCTGTCTTGTTTTCCTTAACACTTCCTCGTTGGTGACCCTGTCTGTCCATCTGATCCTCAGTAAGGGGGGCCTATTGCTTTTACTTACCATATTTTTTTCTTTGCTGTGGGGGTTTTGTGTTTGCTTGGTGAACTCATTATAATATTTTGATTCATAAAGGAAGGTTAGAGAGTTTGCTTGGTCCACTTCCTCCTGCTTCTCTTCCTCTTTTCTCTCTTTTGTATGTGTGTGTGTGTCTAAAATATGGG